CCTTTGAAAATATGACCCCTAGTCTCAGTCTACAAAATAAAACATTAAGCATGGGGACGCCACCTTAGGAGCAGGTCCCAAAATCTTCAAAAATGACAAATAAAAATAAAGTATACAGACCCACATTCATGAACATGAACCAGATCCAGACTTATTTTTGTATAACTATAAACTTGTTCCTTCCGCAAAACATGACTATCCTCCACATTCTAAAACTCAGGGATGATTTGCGGGGGTTTTGCAATCACTGCTACCGATAATAGAAGCGCGCACCGCGCCTGTGGCCCGTTTTCCCAGATTTTGCATCCAGTAATTAGTTGCGTTACAAGGACAGCGAGGTAGCTCGGGCATTGCAAACCCAACGGATGCGGGAATTATTTGAACCTGAGACTTCATTAGTGCACCGCAATGCCTGACATGATTGGTGTCGACTTTCCGTAGTGCATGGCGACGGCAAGGCCATAGGATGGCTCCGCTTAAGCAGTTAGGACAATAATATGGATTTTTTTTGCCAGGGAAACGGCAGGAGTGTGATGTGTATCGAAGCGAAAACATGCGTGGCCATAGCTTTTTTTTTTGTAGGAAACGGAGGGGGGTAAGGAGTGAGAAGAGACGCTTCATTTTCTACCTCATGGATGCCCAACCGCAACGCACACGGGAGAGACAAGGGTAAGAAAACGAAATTGTCCGGAGATCCGGTTTGGACATTCAAGGGTGTCCTTGAGTTATTGAGCGAAAAAGAAAGGGGACAGTGAATGTGTGAGTGAGAGAGAGAGAGAGAGAGAGAGAATCTGAAGAAAGACTAGGATGCCTCGCCACGGTTAATTCCATCTGTTCGCCCTCCCCTTCACGGATGACATTCTTCTCTCCCTTTTTTTCACCCCTTTATGTTTCATCTGTTCAAGGTCATTATCCTGGGCGGAAATCCTGGAAATTGCACCGAATCATCCATAAATGAGCCAATCCTGTCTCAATGGGCAATTGCATAGCATAGCAGCTAGCTTCCCAAGATTTGGACGTTTGAAATGTTGTCCTCACTATTTGGCGAACAAGCTTCATAAAGTCTGTACTGTATGGAATCTACCCACGTTTCTTGACCCGACTCAACAGGCATGAAAATAAAAAATTATTGCAACAAGTGCGAGGGGCAGTCAAATTAAAACGAGACATGGGGTGAATCACACCTTTCCGAAAGCCAAGCTCACTATGGACGATTTGATGAACCGAACCATGACACACGTTCACTAGGGAAGCGATTTGGGAAGCGATTTAATCAATGGGGATTCGCCGATTTCTCCCAACAAGGGCTTCCACTTCATGCTCTCAGGAGTCATGATGCGATGAGCTGGGCCCAGGCGCGAGGCAGCGGCGACACTTGTTTCCCCGCTTTTTAACTTGTTAACTCACTCGTACACTTTGGACTTTGCAATGCAATTATCGCCGTACACTGCTTGTAGTTTACTGTGAATTTTGTTGCCATTCGCACCTTCGGCAACCAAAAACCTGATCACTGCATGAAGCTTTTCCTTGGTGCACTTCATTTTCGCTGGTGCAATTTTTTCATTATCGCTGTACAGCGACGCCTTGTAAGCAACAGTCGTGCGAGACCATGGGGCAGTGCTGGAAACCGTAGAAATAAAACAAGTCCCAAGCAAACGGATTCGATGTGCGTTAGGAGCAACAACCGAGAATGTCCTGTTTTTAATTGACTGTCCTTCGTATATATTTTTTTTCCCATATTGATGGAAATAAAAAGCACAGAATAAATCATATAAATATAAAATGAAATAATCATTCGATAAAATTAAGATACTAATCAATAAAGCAATTACATTCACATAACATACCTTGGGGGTGATATTCACTGTGGACAATTTTAATGCAATTTAAAACATGATGTCAAAAGTCAAATAAAGTATTAAAACAGAACAGAATAATGATTTAAAAAAATGCAAATCAGCGCTCGATAATAAAAAAGTAACAAGAATTCCTTGTAACTTGGAACACTCAGAAGCCCGGATGGAAAAATCGTACGCATTTTAACTGGAATATATAATGAAGGTCAATATCAACGAAACACATGACATGGTTGATATTATCCAGACCTTCGTTGAGCCTTGTCCTAGTATACTCAACCCTCTGCGTCTCGTGAACATCTTCCGGGTGGACTCCCTTTCCCACTACTACTTAATTGATTAAAGAGGAAAGTATATTATATCAAAGTTCAGTCGCAAAGGCGAAGGCTGCAATTGACAGTTGCAAATTTTACGGTCCTTAAGAGAGAGTCAAGCAATGACAGAGTATCCAAAAGTTCCCCTTCAGCAAATAACACTGAATTACATCAACTACGATTAGCACTAATCATGATAAATTATGAATGAATTCATTTTAAACCTGGGGGTATTGTTTAAAATATCCGAGGCATCTTCTCGGCTTCTACCCTTTTATGCAGCAGCCACATCGGATTGGGGCGAGCGAAGGAATAGCCACTGCGTTATGAGCCAAATCAGGAGCGGCAGTGATGCAGAAAGCTCTCTCTCTTTTTACCCCTATCAGTTGCATGCGTTAAATGAGCCTCACGCGACTTAACCCGTCACGGAATATAAACGTCTGTCACTTGCCATCTCCAGGCACGCCCCGTCTACGTGTGCTGTACACTGCAGCCCAAGCACAGCCAAAGCGTAAATGCAAGCCAAAAAGGCATGAGCAACTTCCCCCCTCCCTCCGGGAGTCCAACTGAGTCAAAGGTATTGAAGCTGTTGATCCAGCTCAAGTAATTCTGACCCGAGGAACATAAACCTATACCATCGCATTTAGGCGATTCTCACAAAAGATGGCACTGGATGTTTATGAACCTTGGTTGATGGGATATTTGAATGCATAAGAAGTTACGCGAGGTCTTGATGATAGCTGCTCGAAAATTTAAACTGTGATTCTTAACTCCCACCTGTCGATTTTGGCTGCGGCTATAGTCTTCTCACATTATTGTTTGGCATTACTCACTATTATACAGTGCAGCAGCTCGATGAAAGTAGCATTAAATACAACGATAATCGTTTCCGTGAACAATACGAAGGACCCTTCTTATTTGTACTGGAATGATCATGACCGCTTTCGACACAACGAGGGGAAAATCGAATGTATAATGTGAAGGATATTATTCAAGGATGTTTAATGTATAATGTGAAGGATATTATTAATATTTTAATGCATAAGAAGTTACGCGAGGTCTTGATGATAAGATATATTGGGCACTGTCCTGAACTTCTAGGAGCTTGAAGCCCAGAATGCTGCTCGAAAATTTAAACTGTGATTCTTAACACCCCCGTCGATTTTGGCTGCCGCTATAGTCTTCTCACATTATTGTTTGGCATTACTCACTATTATACAGTGCAGCAGCTCGATGAAAGTAGCATTAAATACAACGATAATCGCTTCCGTGAATAATACGAAGGACCCTTTCTTATTTGTACTGGAATGATCATGACCGCTTTCGACACAACGAGGGGAAAGCCGAATATATAATGTGAAGGACTCGATTTGAATCACACTTCCTTGATTTGCCATTTGCCAATTCAGTAACTATCCATCGACATACTCCAACAAGACAGCAATAATTAAAATTGAAAATAAAATGTCCTCCCAAAGGTTAGTAACAAAACTTCGTGATCGAATTTTTCATCACCTGTAGCGTCAACGATAAAAGCGTTCCTACCCAAAGATGAGATTATTCTTTCACCTCAGATATATTACAGCAGCTACTGTAACTTGCCATGAGCAATCATTTATTCGAATTGGCCCGGGAATCTATTTGATCCGATTTTTCAACTTGAATAAAAATACACAAACACTCCAGTGGATTTCTATGCCAATGGCTTAATTGAGCTGAACTTTCATACCTTTCGCTCAGCCACAAGTCAGATGTAGAGCACGAGCAGAAGGTGGGGAGGGGGGGGGGGAGTATGGGGAGCTTGCCTTATTTTATTTTTAGCTTCGTGGAAATCATTACAGGATAAGGTAAATTAATCAGTTAGGAACCCCGGAACTCTGAAAATTTCGTGCCGTGTTAGTCAAATTACTTAAAACTTATTTCCAAAGAAGTGGGATGGAATACCCAATATAATAAAAAATAGAGAGAAAATCATAGAGCGGGTGCAGCTGCTCCTCGCTAGATCACATTTAGAGATGTATTTGGAAATACCGCGAAACTGGTTTGGCGTAAGACCAGTCACAATTAGACAAGCCTCAAGAAGAAAATCATATGTTAATGGGGACTGTGGTCACGGCTTTAGTTGCACAACCATGCTCATCAAACGCAGACTTCCCTTCCAGAGATGGTTGACGAGCTTTTGGAAGGTTTTACATCGAACCAGTTCCGTGGTATTTCTCTCTAAGTCACTCGATTGCGCTCTTGGAAAGTGAAGCCACAATGATACATTTTTTAAATAAAAATTTTACCACGTTGGTAACAGATTTTGTTAAAAACACACACACACGATTTTCACTCATTTTCAATCGGATACTCCAAAACACTACTACAACTTCTTTTTATCCTTTGACCACATTCCATAATGATTTTCACCATGTTAAAAAAGGTATTGAATAATAATTTTGTACAGAGCGTTATTTTCTGTACACCCTATGCCATATTCCATAATATGCCATATTCCATGCCTCTAGCGGTTGCCACATAGCGGTAGCCTAATTACAAAGCTCTGAGAAAAAGCTATCCTAGGTATTTTTAAAAATGTATGGCATTTGTACGTCGAGTGCTGAGAATTACAATCACGAAAAAACGCTCTAAAATGTATGCAGGGCAGTGTATCACGAATTGAATTCATCCACGGTGAAATCCAAATTTTTTACTATTCTCGGACACGAAGACAGTTTCATTGTCCCTAAGCCCCTCTCTCCCGACCTTACAGAAACACATTCAGTCCTTAATGTCGTCCTTCGCTAGGGGTGAATCGCAAGGGAGGGTGAGAGAGAGAGAGGAGGAAGGAGAGGAGTTGGATGGAGAGAGGGAGAGGAGCTGAGGGACTCCTAAGTGATCAAAGCATTCCCTTCCATCGCAACCATGCCCTCTCCACCTCCGCCGCCTCGCTCCTATCGACTGCTTCCTCAGGTAAGTCTGAGGTGGCTTTATTCTTATTCTTATTCTTATTTTATATGGCCTGAGGCCACTTTATTCATTAGTTTGTCTTCTTTCTCACTAATGAAGAGAGAGGTCACTTAAGATCCCGTCCAGTCCATCTGCGTTTTGTAACTTTAGTTAGAATATAAGTCACAAAAAAAGTTATACTGAGAAAAGCATCCCCTTGATTCCTATGAAAATTGCAACATGTGGGCAAAATTCAGGCTGGGTTCTTTTTTATTATAAAGTTCGTATCAAAGTAAACTTCTTCATTGCGATCTTGAAGTTTGTACACGGACGGTCGGCAGGGAGGGAATAATGTCTTTCGTTTCCTCCCCTGCAATCCATTCTCCATCCACCACTCTAACGTCATCCCTAGCACTTTTTTCTCTATCCTAATTGCGATGGTCGACATTCGGAATGTGACCACTGCATTTTGTTCAAAGAGGTGATAAAATGAAGCGCCACTTTAGTGAAGGCCTAAGCTCGATTTTTAGGAAGCCACGGGCATTCCACTATGAACTCATCCTTTTACCTTTAAACTGCCACATTGGCCTCAAGTTAATGCTGTTCTAGACCACTCTGGTCTCTACCCAGTGTCGTGAAGTTTCCTCTCTCATTGAGGGTGTGAACTACATCAAATTCAAGATATTCATTACAAATATCATTCGGGGAGTCGGCAGGAACAACATAGAATATCAAACTCAAGATGTCAGAATGCATGCAGGGCTAACTCGATATATGGAAATGGGGATCTCCTTTCCACATTATCTTCCTCTTAGTGTTGGTATACACATGCGATTAGACTCGCATGAGAGATTGTTTCCATTGACGACTGTTGTCCGTGAGGTACTTCCACGAAATAGAAGTTTTGTCTATTCCTGGTAAGCATTAGTACAGACAATGATCCATGAGGACGATGCAAGTAACTTCCATACGAGTATACTCACACGTTTAAACCTGTCCTTACACGAGATTATTTCTTGTGAAGTAGCGTTGGAATATATTAATTACCTACCCTCCCCCCTCCCCACCTCTCCTTTTGCGTAAAAAGCGGCGACGGTCTTCACGAAGTAAACTGGACAGTCAAGGCCGGCTATGAGAAGAATCATATTTCATTCTACAAATGCGTTTACAGTGACCCAGAAAAAACTCACAATGTAAAACAATCGCGATTTTGACATATGCCCTACATTCGCGAGGCAAAGTTTCGCGATCATTGTATGCAACAAAATCTTGGAACTGCTGTTTTCATAATGCCCTATGGGAAAAAGTAATTTTTTTTTTTGCCTGGACGCAGACTAAAGATTTATCAAGCTAAAAACAAACGAAAAGTGCACTTGACAGTAATGCTGTGACCTTGAAAACGGACGGAATTGCTGATTGCTACGGATTAGAGGGCGCTTGACTGTGGCTGGACTCATATGACTTTGGTACTACGCATGCTAATTTTGTGAAAATTCTCCAAGACTTGCGTTAGAGGAAGAAATTTGCGTCAGGAAATTTTGGAGAGGTATAGGAGTAATATATTCAGGGAATATGAGGGCTGGTCAAGCACAATGACAGATCGTCTCGTAATCAACTCCCTCAAGGAAAAATACCTAAATTTAGTGGTCCCGGGTCAAGTTTATGCTCACCAAGCTCTTCGACACTCATTGTGAGAATTCTGCACTGTAAATTTGTGCCGCAAAGTCAGGGGATCAAGCAAATTTCTATCGTGCTGTGCTACAGCATCTCGCTACTATTCACAGGAAATGGCTTGTGATATAGAGATGGCAGGTTTGCACCCTTCTCTCATGACAGTTTATGCAACCATGCTGACTCTTTCAATATCGTTGTTTGAAACAAATCTTGAAAGATCATTATGGAAGTTCCTTCAAGCGAATCCGAAATATACAGTATAACATAAGATTATAACAGGAGTGATTACCTCCTGGGCGATGTTCTATGCACCTATGACAATTTGTTCCAAAGTAGTGACCACACCACAGTAGTTTTAGAGATAGGGGCAAGTGATGATCGCGTATCATGAAATCAGAGTCAGATGCAAAATATCTGGCAGTGTCTTACACGTACTCCCAACAGGTTTGGAGTCAACTGGGAGATGAATCATTCTCAGAAATCGTCTGGCACGCATTTGATCTTAGCGAGATTCCTTTACCTATGACAAGAGAACGCGGCACGGCATACCGTTTATTCAGCATTGCCTCCTTTTTTCTTCGGATCTTCAAGGTCACGTTGACATGATGAGAAATAGTCCACAGTCCTCTCTAATTTATTACGATTGGAAAAGGATCAAAACTGGAACTGTGGCCTCGGCAACTAGTACACCAACATCACCAAAAAAAAGTTAGCAATTTATTTCACAAATACATCCATCCGACATCATGCAAGCCTCGCGTTTTTCTGCACATAACACCTCAGATTAATAAGGAAGAGTTCTACTAAGTTTTTTTTTTTAATTCACCCGGTGTTCCAAAGGCAATAACATTTCGAAGTTGAAATATCGAATATCACAGTGAACCAGCGGTCTGCGAGCTGCTCATCGTCAGGAATGTCACTTGGGCGAGTCCCAACGACTGATCGCAAGCTCTAGCAGGAACTACGAAAAAACTGGTTTTTAATACTTTTTTTTTACGGTTGTTTCATGTCCTGGTTGCACTTCCGATGCGTATTTTGTTTTCCTATGCGCTTCTGCCTTTCAGTCCTTCCCGGATCTTTCGATCAAGACCTTATATCAGTATTTAGAGAAGTGGTTCTTGAAGAAAAAAATCCCGTTGGTGTCTTCAAACTGCAGAACATTTTTCTTGCAATACTAGCTTATGGTGGTGCATATGCCATGCATCATTACCCCCAAAAATACAAAAGTCCACGTAATCGGCTATATGGCATTGCATTGCTATATTCTTACTCTCCGGACGTTGATTGCACTGACACATGCAGATCAACAGTCCCAGTAGTGAACATAAAATGAACACTGAAACTGTATTTATTGCTGCAGGCCATTCTGTATATGAATTTGAAACTCGACAGTACCGAAAATCAGGAAGAGAAAAATTAGGTTTCAAATAGTGCACTCCTACGTCATGAACGGGCAAAGAAGTGCACTATTTGATACCTACTCCTTTCCTCTACTTAAACTATGAACTGCAGTATTTGAAAACAAGAGAAACGAATGAAGCAAAATATGTATTCCTTTCATCGTGCAAAAGTCAAGCGCACCAGATGCAATGCCCTATCACATCGCTTGGTTTGAAATTCACCTGTTTCATGCGAGTATGGAAAGTGCCTCGAGCATTAAGAAAGGAAACTTCAAGCGAACCCCAACCTTATAATATGTGAATGATCTAAACGTGGCTTTTACGCTAAATCAAATTCAGGGCCTCAGAAAGGTATTTTAACCGTTCCGTTCCGGTGTAACGTCAAACAATTGAATAAAGTTTCATTTCGAAGCGTTACAGGTCTGTATTATATAAATTCCCGTTCCGTTATAATGTTTCAAAACGTTATAATTAAAGTTCTAAATTGAATGGCGAGAAGGCTAAACTACGATGCAGAGTAAGGTGTATAACAGCTAAGACACGATGCAAGAGAAAAGGCCACAATACACTTCTTTCGCCCTAAGAATTAGACCTGAAGGATTAGGGATGACGGACTCAAAGTTCGAAATAGCTGTCGGACATCTGAAATGGTCCAATAATAAAAAATTATCAACTGAAAAATGAAGCGGAAAGGGCACCATTGCACAAGAAGCTTGAGCGGTTAAAAGCTTTAAGACCACGGAATTCAGGAGTAAGCCAAGAAAAAAACGGAGGAATGAGTAAGGAACATTCTGATCCAATGAAGCCGTGGACTAAATGTGGACAAAGCATCGGCAATTGAGGATAAGCCGCTCGTCAATTTGGTAGATAAAAAAGAAGTCGCCATATTTCATATGTGTCAACGATAGCCGCCAGAATAATGCCAAATTTCATTAGATTCTTTGGTCGTAGGAAGTCCGTCAGTTACCTTCTGCATGAAATTCGAGTCCCGTCTTCTAAACTATTATAGTTTCCCGAATGAGGACGGGAACGGGAATTCGACCGCAAATGAAAGTGGGTGGAGCTGAACATTCATTTCTCACTCGTATTTGCGACACAAACGATATCATTCCTTTGCCGTATTCGTTCCCGGATGGCGGACTCGATTCCACAAATTATGTGGTCATCGTTCCAATGAGAAAAAATGTTGTGGGAGGGGGTCATGGTCATTGAACAGGATGTTCGAGAGCAGAATTACGTCCATGTCTAACACTGGTTAGATTCTCTCTCCCCAAGGCGTAGAAAGTAAGAAAGAAGCTGTAAATATGAAGACAGGCTAAGCAAGGACGACTAAAAGGAAACAGAGTTAATTTTTATCGTGAGTTTGACTCCGTAAGCTCCAGCAAAAAAAGGAAAAATTAACTATATGAACAGTTACATACCGTTATTGTAATAGAGTTCCGTAACGTTACATCGTCCCTCTCACTCTCAATCATAACGTTATGTTCATCGTTCCGTTTTGGAATGTAGTTCCGTTTCAATTCTGACGCTCCAATTGAATCGCAAAATTGTTAAAATGTGTAAATGTCGAAACTAAGGCACTTGCCTATGTTTGCGACTGTACAAAAATTCTAGGTCCAACAGGAAAGTAGTTTATGTTGGGCGGGTTGGAGGGGATCAAACCCTATGGTTCGATCAAATCCCTGCCTATGGCTTAACATCGAGGAGTGTCAGTAGGTCTCCAGTTCTTGAAACATTTTCCTCCCACATGCCTCATCTTACCAGTGCGCATATTCGGTGCCGTTTGGTTCTTTAAAATAAACTTTGCGTCGTTATAGCGACCGTTCAGCCATATTTGATCATATGTGGGCCCTGAAGCGTGTGGACATCGTTCTCATTAAATTTGGTGACATCATCGAATTCCTAGCTGTAGCCCGATCCTTGAACTGTTGCAATCCTTTTTTTGTCGTATTTTCTGTGGGGTAGGCTCCATTTCCTGGTACTCCTCTCAGAAGGAAATGGGGACACGAGCATAAAAGTTTAAGAATCGCTTCCTTAATCCTTTTTTTTTCCCCGTTTGCTAACACAGTTGTTGGCGGGGCTGATGGGAAGCTCGGGAGGCTTTATGCAGGGGATGTTGATCGGATACAGCCCCGTGGGGCTCGCCTCACTCAAACTCGACCCCAACCCTCCTTTCTACCTCAGCGACATCCAACAGGCTCTCTTCGGTTGTTATTTGCACTATTTCAGATAAGGGCTTCGTGTAACTGCCATGAAGTTTTTTTTAATATCGACGGTGAAGGTCGTCGATACTCGAAACTCAAGAACTTCAAGAGACTTACAAAAAATATATAAGTGGTAGGGCGATTCGTTCCGTTCACCAAGCCCTTCAAATTGATTGCAAATAATTATCTTTCTTACATATTTTTTAAATGATGCTATAATGTTCCAATGCATCTGCTTATTATGAAATAACATTTTTGCGGTGGGTAGTGCTATGCATTCTACCAGAGCGCCATCCGCATTCCATCGAACCTATACTGGGAAGGTTCAGTACTAGTTGAAGGCATTATGAAGTGCCTATGCCCAGAAATATCTAATACGCGTATTTGGCACTCTAAAGTCCAGGCAAATGGATTCATGATCACAAATTTCAATATCATAAGGTTCTTGAAATATAGTATTCACTATCACTACAGCAATGCCTGTTAGGAGGATTGCTACTTAGTTCTTACAATTTTCACCAAAGAAAAATGCAAACTAAATGTGCCTTTTCCGCGTAAGCTCCTGCAATTGCAGAGTCCATGGATTCACAGCCTGAAGGTCTGAAAGGACAAAGTCGGTTGGCGACACCAACTAGTAGATTCTGCCTGAGCACCACCTGCCGATTGAAGTAGGCTGGTGACCCGCCATTTGACGATTCAGCGCTTGAAAGAAGCAGAAACCTGACGACGTGAGATTTCTACCACATGCGTCAGTAAGCGAAGTGAGCAGAACGTCCCACCCAGTTAGAGAATTGTCTTCACTGCATATGCGCTAAGGCATTGTCCATGTACATAAGTAGTTCTTGCTCTGTCGAGCCAGGTCTCTTTATTAAACTCCGAATGAAATTCCGAGTTCAACAAAATAATTATCTGGACCTGACTCTTTCCAACACTGAAGCGTCAAATGGCAGGTCGCCAGCCATTTTAAATCGGTAAATGATGTACAGAAAGAAGTTAATAGTGTCGCCGAGAAAACTCATTTCTGGTTGTAAGAAGTGGGTTTACGAATTGGGGAAAATGTGCAGTTGCAGGGAACTAATTATATATTATTGGGAATTTGTTGTAAGAACTATTCATGGAACCTTTAAAGCGGTCCTCGAAGGAGCTGAGAATTTATTATTATTATTTCAAGATGCTCAACCACCATCCATAGGAATTCAGAAATTCCTTATAAGGGAAACATACTTTTTCAATTGTCTCATTGTCTTTCATGGCATACTTCCGTGGGTTTTCACATGTGCAGTTATGCAGTTACATTCCCTTTTTTCTGTCATCATCTCCAGACTGCATTTTATCAGGTAATTCGTTTCTTGTTTAGGGAGTTTGATATGGTTGTCAGCGGCGGTGAGCGTTTTGGTGGCAGGTCCTTTGACGGCACGATTTGGGCGAAAGAAGATTATCATCGCCTGCTGTGTCATCTCCTACATCGGCTGGCTCCTGATGTCCTTCCCTCCTAACGTCTCAATCTTCCTGGTGGGCCGGGTCGTCACGGGCTTCACTGGGCTCTGCCTCCCTGTTTGCCAATTGTACCTGGGTGAAATTGCTCACAAGGATATTCGAGGTCTCCTCAGCTCAGGAACTATGATCTTCCTCACTTTTGGGACCCTGCTCAACTACGTCCTTGGGACGTACATCAATTGGCGAACATTGGGCGTCTTCAACGCTGCATTCTTCTTAATCGTCTTGCCTTTATTCGTGATTCTGCCAGAATCTCCTATCTGGTTGCTGACTAAAAATCGGACTGAAGAGGCCAAAATGGCCTACCGTTGGTTGCGGGGGCCCACATACAATATCGATGCGGAAATCAAGGAGGTCACCACTCATATGGAAACCTTTCTGCAAAAATTTACAATAAAAGAGATCTTCCGGTGGGCATACCTCAAGCCAGTGTTTGTGCTCACTACACTTTTGTGCCTTCGGATGGCTACTGGAGTTTATGTCGTCTTCAACTACACCATTGACATCTTTAAGTCGGCTGAAATCAAGATTGATCTGTACATTGCAACCATTTTGGTTGGAGTCGTCCAGTTTGTCTTTGCCATCGTATCGGCCTTTCTCATGGATAGGTTGGGACGCAAGAACCTTAGCATTGCCTCAGCATTCATTATGGGGATTTGCTACACTGTGATTGGTGCCTATCATTATCTAAATTTTCTTCAACATCCTGTCGCTGATCAAATTCGATGGTTACCCGTTGTGGCAGTGCTCCTCTGTATTGCCAGCTTTGCTGGAGGCCTTGCAAATAGCTTCTTCGTTCTCTTGACAGAGATGATTCCAATCCGCATCAAGAGCATCGCGGCTGGAATTATCGTGTGCATTGGGACTATGGCCAACTTCGCAATCGTCCAGGCATTTCCAACTATGCGGATTGCCATGTGGGATCATGGGGTATTCTGGTTCTACGCAGCGGTCTGCTTCGTCCTAGCCGCATTTTGTACTTTTTACCTGGTGGAGACCAAAGGACAAAGTCTCAGCGCCCTAGAGCGGAAGCTGACCAGTGCCAACATTCTCGCAAAGGAAAACCCTGCCTTCGAGATGGAGATCAGTGCCAGCAACCTGGCGAAGCACAATTCCGCCTTCGAGATGGAGATCAATGCCAGCAACCTGGCGAAGCAAAACTCTGCCTTAGAGATGACGATCAATGCCAGCAAAATGGCAAAGGAGAACTCTGCCTTTGAGATGGAAACTAATGCCATCAACCAGACAAAAGAGAACTGAGATGGAGATTGTTATCACACCAAAAGTGTTGAAAGTGTCTGCATAAATCCCTCTGCAAGCATTGCAAGCCATGATGAATTATCATTGGTTCATCTAAAAACTTCCCGAGACTACACTGAAATGTTTTTCTTTTATAACTGAACAGATTTTAGTCTGATTGTTGAAATATGAAATAAAGTGTGCCAACGCAATGTATTAACGAAACAGAATTTTCCATGTTACCAGGAACAACATCAAAGTAATCTAACTCATGTGACGGGATGCAGTTAATTCTCCACAAACCATAATAAAAAATGAATGTAATTATGTGGGAATAAGGACTTAAAAATGTACGCAAGTGAGGTAGGTCACAATCAATGTACTAATTTCTCAATGTACATGCATCGAGACCAAAAGCTAACTTTCCGATATTATGATAATACTGATTCTCATACGAAGACCTTTGACAACTTGACAAAGATGCACACTGTCTTAATTTTGACAACACTTCGATAACTAAAGGGCTCATTAATAGAAAAAAGCTCTAAAAATTGAATATCTGCACTATGCAACCCCTTGTCATGGCATACGGAGCAAGACAAGATTTTCACAAAGTTTTCCAGATTTTTAAAGTACAGATTCCCCCCCCCATAAACGGCTTTTTCTTTATGATGACAGACATGCATCTATAAAAGAAAGGGTCTCTTACTAATATCGTCGACACTGCATTCATCAGTCATTAATATGATAATAATACTGGGATAATATAATGTCCCAGTACCAACGCATTTTTAGATTTTTTAGATAATTCTGATGTTGCACCGGGGATTCGTTAAGAATCTTCATGCAACATCAGAATTTGTCACACAAAGAGATGGAATTAATGATAGGTGGCTCAAATCCATTCCAAAGTTTTTCCTCCATGCACCCAATGGTAAATGGCTCGAGTCTTCTAGAAATAACGAAAGGAGTCTATGCGGTAACCTTCCGTGACTAGTATCCTAGTGTTTATCAGAGACCAAAGGATGAACGATATAGCTTCTCCAAGTCAAATGAAGGCAAGAGGAAGTCAACTGCGACATGGAAATTCAAATACGTCCAGCAGCTTGTTCTGCGACTCCAAGGAAAAATCCGATGCATCAAGAGGAAAAACAAACGCAACTTCCTTGGAAATTCAAATGCAGCATAGGGGTATCTGATTGCGTCAGACTGAACGGAGAAGTATATCTCAGGCGTTGTTTAACAATTTCGCACCCAAGCCCTTCAAATGAAACACTTGCAACTTGAAATTCCCAGCACGAGATGTTGCTACTGCTAGGACGTGCTCAAGCTTACTACTATCTCTAGGCATCATTCTACTGTACTGCAAGTCTTGAAATGAAGCCCTGCGCATAGGAGGCGTAACAGAAGGAAAGGAGCGAAGTAGATGTTTTTCAACTTGACGGTAGCAACAGAACGAGAAGGAACCAGTTCAAGTTAGATAGGCTATTAAAAAAAAAAACTCAAGATGGAGAATATTATTTCTTATTCTGAAGGTAGGAAAATTAAAGCTGGTCCGGACCTGATTCGCACGCAAATTGCAGAAGACGTATCTCACATTTTTCAGCATTCATTTAATGAGCGCGGCCTGGTAGTTTATGCCGATGGAAAGATGGCATTTCCCTCTAGCATATATAAACAATTCCAGATCTTGGAAATAGATTCATCGGACGGACTTATAGGACGGAAAAGTATACGGAGTATACTTTTCCGTCGTATACTTTTCGAAAAGTATACGGAGTATACTTTTCGATCATGATCGAAAACCATACTTAGACTGATCGAATTTTCATACTTAGATCGAAATCGTAATTGAGAGCGACATCTATAATAATTGAGAGCGTCATCTAACATTACCATCGACAAATCCAGTCACTTCTGGCCCCTTTCGAGGCCATCAAAACCTAAGATCGAATATCCAAATGGCTTTGTTCCTCACATTTCCAGTTTCGATTCGAACAATGCTTGGGTACGCTTGTCACCCCATATTCTAATAACAGCTGTCGTTTCATCAATCGAGTAAAAACGCCTTACACAAGGCCTAGGACCATCACAAGTCTCCTCCATCTTCCAATCCTTTTTCAGAAGAAAGGCACGAGGTCTCTGTTGGTAACTGCTGCGCTATGTCTCTAAACAGTCGAGGTGGTAAAATTAGAAATATACAATGGAGTAAATTCCACGTGAAAGACACATGGGATAATTGAAGTTTAGTAAGGAGCCATCTTTGACGACAGACGGGCCTATGGCAGCGTGACGTCAGTTATCATCGAGGTTATGATGATCGAGTTATGATATTTGGGTTCGATACTTAGACCCAGAATAATCGAGTTATTATGATATTTCGATCTTGATCGAAAAGTATATTTAGACCGAGTAATTGGAAAGGGAACCCTAAGCCCCATTGTCGTGTCCCCAGCGAAACCGAAAATCATGCCATTCACATCCGCTCCCACTGACAAACCATGCACCAACATTCAAAGTGCATCACACACGATAGACCAGTGGTGCCCAACCCGTGGCCTGCGGGCCAGAAGTGGCCCGCGAGGTGCTTCCAACTGGCCCGCGAGGCGCTAAGGGAGAAACAAAAATATTCTGGCTGTATTGCAACTGGAGGGGCCACATCTAAATGACCTGGGCTAAGCCGAGCAAAATCAGCGATTCTTATCGTCTCTAGGAGGAGGTCGGGAGGCGGGGAAGTAAATAATCCTGCCCTGGAACTTTCTTTCTTTTGTTTTGTTTCATAATCTGCTTACAATAAAGTGAACCTTTTCTCGACGGGGGGCACCTCGAACAAGGCCCTAACGAGCCGGCTGGAATTAGCGTCGAGCCCTATCTTTTGTGGCTCCTCCAGTTGCGGAACAGCCAAAGCATCATCAAGCTTCAAGCTTCATGCGCAGGTGCACATGCCTTCTTTCATTCTCAGTTGTTCCAACTTGAGGGGTTTTCAGTACGTTCCGTGAACAAAAATGAGTTTCAGCAAGCCAAGTTCGAGAAAACGCAAAGGTGATGACAGTGTGGAGTGTCGGGAATTTAATTCAGAGTGGGAAGACAAGTACATGTTCACTGTCGGAAAAGGAGGAAAGCCAGTGTGCCTGGTGTGTGGTTTCTCTGTGTCTGTGTTGAAAAAATACAACTTGGAACGGCACTACAACACGAATCACACAGGCCTGGATGCGAAGTATCCCATCGGCTCTGACCTCCGAAAGGACTATATCGCTAGGAAAAAAGGTTCATTGGAAACTCAACAATCCCTATTTGTCAAGAGACATGAAGAAAAGAAAGACATGGTTGTAGCTTCCTATGAGATAGCTCTCTTATTAGCAAGGAAGAAGAAGCCATTTTCTGATGCTGAAGAAATTGTAAAACCAAGCCTTGAAATAGCAGCCAGAGTGTTGGGCGACAAACAAGTTGAGTCCAAATTCAAAGACATATCTCTTTCTCGCAATACTATCACGAGACGGATGGATGAACTGGCAAAGAATGTGACTGATCAAGTGAATTTTCTTGCCTCCACTTGCAAATTTTTTTCCTTGGCCATGGATGAATCAAATGACATTTGTGACACGTCGCAGGTAACCATATTTATTCGAGCGGTCAATGATAATTTTGACGTGATTGAAGAGCTTCTGGGGATTGAATCCATGCATGGAACTACGAAGGGTGCAGACTTGTTTGACGCCCTCAAGAGATGCGTGGAAAGTAACAGTTTGGACTGGGCTAAGCTGGACAGCTTGTGCACCGATGGCGCGCCTGCTTTGACAGGTAAGCATTCGGGGTGCGCTTCTCTCTTGGAGCAATTCCTTGACCGAGAGCTGCTGAAATACCATTGCATCATTCATCAAGAGGCGCTATGTGGTAAGAGTTTGAACCTCAAGCATGTTATGGACGTGGTGGTGAAATGCGTGAACAGAATTCGAGCCAGGGCGTTAAACCGGCGCGAATTCCGAGAGTTCCTCGAAGACCTGGAAGAGGAGTACGGTGAACTCCTACTCCACTGTGAAGTCAGATGGCTGTCGAAGGGCAAAGTTCTCTCCCGCTTTTGGTTACTCAAGAACAGCGTGCTGCAGTTTTTGGAAGAAAAGGGCGAGTTACCAGCGGAACGAGAACTTTTGCTTGACAGTGAGTGGCTCAATGACTTAGCTTTTCTGACCGATATTACCGGTCACTTGAACACTTTGAATCTGAAACTGCAGGGGAGTAACAAACTTTTCACAAATCTTGCCAATGACGTTGCCTCTTTCAAACTGAAG